CTGAATAATCGGCCAAACGCATCCTCCCATGTGTGCAATAGGCTTCACTGGCCCTGACGAAGTAGTTCTGGTGAATAAACACATACGAAGGCGATATAATCGATGGCGGTCGACGAGGGGTGGATCCTGTATATTAGGCCTTCGGGTTCACTCTCAGACGCAAAACCATCATCGGTGAGTTGGACCGTTGCGAATGCCGATGTCTAGATTTCAAAGGCCATTATTCTGAATTATTCACTGTATATACTCGTGAACGCGCCTAGACACATACCAACAAAGCAAAGTTCTACAACGCGTTCTTCCTAAGTCATCACAGTATAATGCTTCAATCAAAACTGCAGCCACTTTGGCATTCCATGGACGAGCAGATTGGAGTATCTCTTTGTGCGGAATCCGTCTTTTGCCATTTCATCTTTGGCCTTCCCGTGAGATTACCGGAAGAGTGTTTGGAATTCCTCTATTAGCTCCGTTATGCAGACATGGGCTGCTTTAGAGATTTTAATCCGCTACTTCTCGAGCTTCTGCTCCGAAACAAGCACCTCTGTCATAGGTCCTCTGAAAACGGTTTTCGTAGAACCAGCTGGCCGCCGTCGGCTTGCGGCCCTGGACATCTCCGTGTCGTTACTTCACATCGCGTCTCTCAACGTGCTCCAGTCTTTCTTTTAACCTTTTTTCTCTACGCGCATCTGTTCTTCCTTGGAGTTAGCGTCACAGATTGGTCCCTTTGTGGGTCAGATTAGGCTAGAAGTTGTTCTTTTATAGCCCCTCCTTTTCCGGAAGTCGTCGTCTACGTTGTTGAACTGACCCTTCCATCTTAGGGACGGTGGTGGTGGTGGTCAGCCCAGCATCTGACGCCGCGTGTCGTCTTATTCCTCTGACTTTTTCCCTCAATGATCAGACAGTCTGATAGCGGTCAACAACTTGAACGTGGGTGTATCCTTGTGGTCTTTTTTTACAGTTTTGGAGATTAAAAGTTACATTCTTGATAAGGTACTTCATGCAGCTTCGGGAGAAGTTTTCTTCTCTGGCCACTCTCTCCTCCGCGACGACCGACTGTATCCTCCAGAGGACTTTGTCTGTACTTTATCGCATATTGTGGCATCTAACAACAAAAAGTTGGTACATCGACATCACGTAACTTGCACTCGACATTTTCCCGGACCGTCACTGTAGAGGGAGCCATGGCTTGATAATAGGGATTATGTTATTCTGGCCTAGCTGGCGTCTTGTTGCAGTGAAGTTCTTGTTGATTTCATTAGGGGAGGAAGACAGTTTTTTGACAGTCCCTCCAACTACAACCACTATTCCTTTTGGTAGCCCTTCTTGAGTTGTTGTTTTTTTGGAGAAATGGTTCTCCCTGGTGTCGTGTCCACGTCTTATCTGATGGATTAGCAGATTTCCAGTCCTTTCTGAACCGGGTGGTTTTTCGAATGACTAGGATATGGTGAATAGTCGATGCTTTCAGACTGAACGCAGTCAATGGCTGAAAGGGTTGGAGTCGCTTAGTGTTTCTGTTTGTTGTGTTTCGTCTGTGTCGGGGTCCCACAAGTACAGTGGTTTGCTGACTTGAGAAGGCTGCGTTTAGGTCCTCTATTCTGGGCTCTTTTCTGGAAGGGATAGGTAGTGCCCCCTAAATTGGGTTGACGAATAACCCTTCTCTTTGCCAGCATACCATGAGCAGGCAAATAGAATTGGTACGGGCCAGGTGTGTGAAGAAGCAACTCCTTGCCAAAGCCACAGAAGTTGATGGAGATGTGTAAATGGCTCAAGAGCCGGACACATTTGAGCGAAACTTACGCAGAGCCAGTTTCACTGCGCCGAATTCAATTGTGATCCGTTCTTCATATTATGTCGTGGCGACTGACGGACAAGGTAGGGGGTTGGAGGCTACAGATGTCGACTTTTACGACATGATTGGTATTTTTTCGTACCCAGCACACAATTTTATCGACTTCAGAGACCCACAACGACAAGGATTTGGTTAGATTCGCCAGTTGAAACGATTACCGTAGTGAGGTCATAGATGAGAGTCCGGCTCTGGGTGGGCATTAGTTGGTAACGCCTGCTTATCCGTATCGCGAGGTGACAGCTTCTTAATTTCTCCTTTCGCAGGTCTGCAATGGTGTTACAGTTCCTCTGAACCCTTCTTGACTCTGTATCCGAATCAATCGGTGGAGGCCAGGAACAACCCATGGACCAACGGCCTCCGCCTACCACGAAAATAACAGATATCGCAATGTCGGGTGAGTCTGCACCGAGCGCTCTTCCTCCCTCCTCGAATACACGAAAATCCCCCGTAGGCTTGAGAGAAG